AGTCTTGCATCCGACCCACATTCATGAGTCACTACCTACAAATTTTCCACGAACTCTATTTAGCCTCTCATCGCGATAAGAGCACTCCGATTGAATGTTGGTATTGAAGTCGAGACCGAATAAAAAGACTAAAATCGACTTGTTAATTCTTTCACTTGGCTATTATTTAATATACGTTTCTATTTCAATTATATCTTTCACGACTTTCTTATTTTTTCCTACTATAGTATTTGGATCATTAAAGCAGTACTTTAAAGAAAAGTAAGTGTCACACAGTTTCTCCATATCTAGGTATATTGTATTATATAATACCAAGGATATACTAATTAGATGTAAATCACTAAGCATATAACTAGATATATAACACTAGACACATAAATAGGTATATAACACTAGATATATTGTATATATACTTGAGATAAAACAATATATCTAAATCCGAAATTTTCTTTGTCGACAGAAGTTTCCTTAGATAACTCTTCCTAATGAATCATTCATAGAATTAATTATCTACACATTGTGTGTTTTTCAAATGAGAATAAGTAATGGAAGGTTGGAAAAGCGGGAAACTAAAAAAAAACAGTTGGTTATCGGGGTAAGCATTTAAAAGTATCTCCTAATCGTCTAATCGATGGTCAGTCTGAACGGTCAGGAGACGGTCGTCGTATCCCGAACATTAACGCGACAGTTGCGTAAGTACGTGGTGGTTCCGTCGGTCTGTCAGTGGCCACTGGCAGATGTTGCGATGCTGGGCTATCCTAGTTCAGTATATACACACCAATGGCATCGACCTATGCTCGACCAAGCTTGTATTTCATGTCCACGCGTACATCATTTCCTCGGAGAACCCTCTTAAAATTCGAAATTTCTAACTCACCGGAAAAAGCGTGTCCACTTTTTCTCTCCTTTCCCTATTTTTTCCCTTTTTTCATCCTTTTTTTCTTCATATTCTCTTTTTTTACCTACTTCTTCCTTTTTTTTACAGTATTAGCATCATCGATTATACGAAACTACGAAATAATAATTTCTGCATATTACATATTCAATAAAAATATTTTATAATGAAATATAAATGAATTAATCTGATATATAAATTTGTTATTTAAAAAAAATCGATTTGTCCCATTTTTATATTTTCCACTAAAACTCATTCGTTTGACAGTTTACGAAGGAAAAAGTCGTATAATTTCCAACCAATATACGATTTATCGTTCGAAATAAAAGGAAAAAATTACAATATTCTTGCTACCTGCTGAGCCAAACACGATTTTCTTTTTTCAAATTGAAATCATTGGAAACTCATTGTTACAGAATTCTCAAACTATTGCAACAATCGCTTACAGAAATGGAAATAAGTGCAGCTCGTGGCAGTTTTAAACTGTAGGTATAAAGTTGAAAGGGTCATTTCTAAACGTTTTAGTGTGTATCAAATGACTGGTATAGGTAAGGGTTACAAACCATTTTTAAGAAACGATTGTCAATAAATCAAGCTACAATTTTAAGAATCGTACGGCAAAGTGATTAAAGTCGCTACCGTTCACGACTCTTCTTTTGAGGTTCTACAAAATCAAAACTACCCGACCATCGTTCGCCATTTATTGTCACTTACGATTAATAGTTAACCCTTTTACATGAACGTCAAAAAAATTTCTATTCCATTTATAATCAACAATAGGCATTCCAACGCATAACGGGGACAAGAACATACCAAAAATAGTCACGTATCGTAATAAATTGTCAAATAATTCTCTACCTACCTAAGACAATAATTTTTTAATTTATTATGTATAACATTATTACTTCAAAAAAATATGATGATAATTTATTCATAAACCAAAAATCGATATCACTTTATTTTTAAATCTCTGCTTTCTTGCTATTAAATTCTTGCATTGTCAGATTTCAATTTAATTGACTGTATCTCCATTATCACTCACGCGTAAATTCCTGAAGACTTTGACGCTCAGAGGGTTAATAAAAAGGAAAAGATAGTTTAATGGACAGAAATAACATACAATTAGATCTCGTTTTAGAGATAATGGAATTGAATAATATTCAAAAAGCCAATCAATCTTGAGAAAGAAAACTGAGAACTTTCTTCGATGGATCAATGCATCAACCTACCGCGATTCCATTGCAGCTAGTAATGGTCTTAATGTGACGTACATGATCGAAGAACATAAGTAAGTTGATCTTGTGAAATATCAAATTATTATCTGGAAAATAAATAAAATCTTTTATATTATATATGAATTTATGAAAAATTATGTTAAAATATATTTGGAAAAAAAACAAAAAATGATCGAACCGATGATGTTGAAATAATTACAATGTGAGTGGAAAAAGAGATGTATATATTTGTTTGACGTTGTAGTCGTCCGATGATGGTTCTGTCCACTCGACGTAGGCGGATTAAACGGGTGCGAGAAGAAGAAAAAGGAGAAAGAGTCGAGGGACACCGCAGGGATGAAATCCTGATCGCGTTTCACGAGCTGCCACCTTCGAATGTTGCGGCAGGTTCCATTAGCGCTACCTACGTTGGCTCTTCTCAAAAGAAAAACTTTCTTTCTCGCAGCAACATTATAGAACCCTGCCAAAACACGATTCTTTCTTGGTTACTCGATCCTAGTAGCTGAGGCCACGAGGAACGCGCACGGATCAAAGGGGTTTCAGGAAGGTTTTCCAATGCGATTACATCATAAAAGACACCCGAGATTTGAAGTCTACAACGAACATACACATACTTATCGAACCACATCCTATCAAGAAAGAAGACCATCCGTTCGCACCCGCTCGCTTGCTCGCCCAACCACCTTTCAAGAAAGAATTCTTTTCTCTTTCTCATTCTCATCCTCCTCTCACTCTCATCCTCCCTTCTATCTTTCAAAGGGTTTTCTACAGACACGAGCATATCGTCTTGGAAGAAGTTTTCAACGATACTCGAAAGGGACTATCAGGAGGTTTTAGATGTTTTTTCACTGTTCTATCAACTTACGATAAAACGCAAACACAAATTAAATCGTGCATGTGTTAAATAAAAGAATATGTACAATGTATTTAAAGAAAACTAACCAAATAATTGAAACACAAAAAATATGAATAATAGTCTGTAATATGTAGTTTTGAAATATTGTAATAATTCCTCTTTAAATTATCGTTATAGTTAACAATCAAAAACCAATTTAAATTTTATTGAAAATAATATCGATTATTAGAACCATTTAAAAAAAAGTCTTAGAAATAGAACTCATTCGAAGATCAGCTGCCAACCATAAATATCTTAGCCCTTTCAGTAGTACGAACTATACTGACCATATAGGCCACTCTGAATTATTGCATCCCGAAAGCTAAACTCTTTAAAGTACGGCTATCCCGTTGGCTTCATGGATGTTACTACCTCTTTAAAGTTTTTCTAAAAGTTTTGTTGCCTGGGATAAGTTATGGGCCCGGTGCGACAGCTAGAATTGGACAACGGACTTCTAGCAAGACGGACTATAGAATCTCAAATATAAAACCACAAGATTGGTTGATCTAGCATTGCAATTCACGTTGGATAAATTTTAATATTCTGAATTTATACTCAATTTAATTTTATTAAAATAAAAGTATTTTTAAAAACGTGTCATTATTTTATTAAATCGAGAATATTTATGTATTTATTAAAAAGAAATGGTATTATTGATTACTTTTTAAATAAACCCGTCTTATATATTCTTAGAAAACCTTTGAGAGGACAGCATATACCTTATATATTATATATGTATATTATATATGTATATTATATATTTACAATGAGTAGGTAGTATTTGTCAAAGGTAGCGAAAGACTTCTCTAGTAAATATCGTTATCAAGAGACAAGCTCAAACCAACTTATTTCACGCACTATCCGTGCTTATAGGACAGATACTATGTTTGTATTTATAAGAACCACCAAGATCGAAACAGAAAGAGATTTGAAACTTACGATGGCTCCAAGGGAACGCAACTTTTAATCTCCGGAGATAAAATATCAATTTTACCAAAAGTAAATTCTCGGAATTTATTTATTTTCTAGATAATTTTGTATTGACCCCCAAAAAACAGTATAAATGGTATATTTACACGTTGACTGCCGTGTAACAACCGATAGTAACAATACATAATTAGAATAAATATCGATACTGATAAATTTTTAAATAATAACATTGTTTTTATAAGAGTTTGTATGAAGAAAATAATAACATACAGAATATGCAAAAATAATTTTATTAGTACAAGGAAAATATGCATGACATGTAACGACGTTTTTTCTGTATGTAATTGCTTGATAAAATGCAATCTTTATCATTAAAACATTTCACTAAATAAATCGCTAACTTCATCCTAAAATCGGGAATTAATATATTTGTCGATTTACTTATTTAACACTATTTAATTTTTTTACAACAAAAGTAATCAGTAAAAACTCTTTTGCCAATTTCCAGTAACATTTGATAGTTTTTCGTAGTGGTGAACTATAAGCAGTTATTTGATCAGACAAATCAACTACAAATTTCTAAAAATTCTAATCTACTATCATTTTTGGACAGTTTGAAACAACTGATATTCACAAAAATGATCTACAGCGCCTCGAGGGTCATCAGTGACCTCACCACAAATAATGCATTAAACACAATTATATAACTCCCTTTATAAGCTATAAAAAAATTTCAACAAAATATGCATTCCATAATAAAAAATTCATGTTTGGGTGGCATGCAAATCACGTGAAATGCGCGCGGTAGTCAACTTATGAGAAAGATATTCTCATAAGAGTATCTAATATAATCATGTCAACATTGTTAGTATTTTTTAATCTTTTTTTAATCGAAGTACAATTTTATTTTCTTCAAAAAATTATACTATTGTAAAATGAATTTGTAGTAGATATATGAATCGAAAGAGATGTAATATTAGTATACGACACAGTACGAAATTCTCGTCGTGGGTCGAAAATCTTTTTATTCACCTTCTCAGTAGAGATTTTTATCTTTGGTAAAAGCTGAACTCGTGTGGAATTACTATTGCATTCTTCTTCCCCCTGCCCCTGCTCTATCGCGATGCCATGTCGGGAGAGTAGCTAGAAAAAAAAATTTATCTGTACCTATGTGAAAACATTATGCGTTGAAAGATTAAGTAAAAAGACAAAAAAAAAAAAAGAAAAGAAAATTGTACAAAGAAAAAAAAATTACTTAAAAATCGACAATTTTTTTATTTTATCGATAGAAAATTAAAAATTTAGTAAATACCACTCGGTCGAATGCGTAGCTATTGAATTTTCGATCGACAAATTCGAGCTCTAATTCTAATACCTCTCGAATTCTCAACACGACACGCCCTATCAATGTACCATACAATTATCTATCCATCGGTTCTTAAGAACTTGTGAATGGCAAGGACGTTAATACAAGGTACAAATGAGACTCGTTGCCTTTGGGCCATGATCATACGACTGAATGATTTTGAAAGCGAGAGATGATAGCGTACTGCGAGCTAACAGAACCCTCTCGCGTATTTTTCGAGATCGAAGAAGCAAAGGATTGAAGAGATGGAGTGTGAGAAAGCAACGAAGCATGCTCGTCTCGTTTCAATCGGGGGGAGAAAAAAAAGATTAGAATCTTTGAAGACACTTTTATATCAACTTCGATCACTTCTTTCTTATTGAAGCACTGTTGAATGACGATAAAGATCTTTGTTCCAAATGGAATCTAATACAACAAGAAACGAACTCTGATTTTTCTGAAATTTTTTTATAAAAATAAAAATCCAGCACACAGGAAGAGCTAATCGCAAAAAAAGTTCCTTTCCTGTATCGCACTTATTGTTCTCTAATCTTAACCTTTTGTCCAGAAAAGGGTATAGGTGAAAGACAGGTAAAGTAAGAAATGGACAAATTCCAACATTATCTAAAATATGACCATGAAACTATGAGATAATAAGAGAACATAAAATATGAATAACCTAAACTATCGCGTCTTTAAGTGTTATTTTTTATCTTTTTTCCTCAAGCGTAGAATCCCTAGACAATGTCATTTTTAGACAACTTTTTTTATATCTTCGTAAACGGAAATAGTAAACATTTTATAACAAAAGGAAAACATTATTTATATACTAGTTAATATAATAATTGTTCTACTATTTATTATGTTATTCTACTAATTCTTCTTCATTAAGATAATAATCTTCATTTAAGGCCTTACATACGTCTAGCAGTGTCAAAAATGCGCTAAAAGAAAAAAATTTTTGACAATAGGGATAACAATAGAAATTAATAAAAATAAATGGTGCACATTGTTTTTTATTGGTATTTAAACTTTATACAAAATTTTATTTTACTTTATTTTTACAAAAATTACTATATAAAAAATCACGTGATCCACAACACTAAGAAAAAAAAATTGCTCCACGGTCTGGATTATATCTAGTGTAAATTTTGATCGATCTACAGAATTTAAAAACATTCTTGTAAAATAAAGTTATAATTATAATTGTCGAGCCGAAATTTTGAATTTCGGAAAATTTAGCAATTTATGGCAGTTTAAAAAAAAAGTATGCGTTTTACGTCATAAATTTTACACTTTAATTATTTTTATAAAATTGTTAAATCAATGTATCCAAAATCCGGCTCGAAACAACTATAGAGAAAACGATTTTGAATATTTAAAAAAAAATCGCATTAAAAAATATTAAAAACTGTATGAGTTATCATGCGTACCGTGGTGGAAAAAGTAGTTTCGAGAAAAACGCGTTTAAAACAAAGGGCAGCTATCTGCGCGCACCAAACTCTCGTCGGGCAGTCACATTTTCTACCATAACTTTGGATCTATAGGGAATTTTTGCAATTGATTTTCACAGAAATAAGCCTAAAACTATAGATAACAACAATCTGTCAAAAAAAAAATCTATTTTAGAAAAATTCTGGACGTATATAAGGCCTTAAAGATATCAAAAGTCAATTATAAAAGCAGGCACCTGCACTCGTCCCGATTTTAATATTGAAAATAATGCATGAACGGGACAATTAAAACGCACCCTTGCCACTGCCAGGATTCTTTGAAAAAGAGCAACCTCGAGAATACGAAAGGATAGAAAATAATTACATTGACGTAATATTAGATAAAGCTACGATCGTTTTAACTTTCCACCTGCTTAATGTTACCGTATCGTCGGCATAAAATTATAGCTTTATGGTACTTGTTACGTGTCGAGCGAGGAGTGCTTTACGATCATCGATTATTTCCTTTTAAAGGAAACTTTGGATAAAAGAAGAGACGGATTGTAACTGTATAATAAAAAACGAAGGATAGATGATTGATCGGTCGATATAGAAAATGATTAATGACCCTTTAAATGTATTTTCATTTTGATAGGTAAATACCAGATCGTTCAGCAGTTTTATGGGTTAAGAATATATTTTAAAGCATCATAAATATAACGCAATTAAATTAAGTAGTTAGTAATCTTTATTTTATTGTTAGTTACGTAGCTGTTTTCTTATCATCGTATTATAATAAATACGTGAGTAAGCTTTCTGTCGTGATATGAATCCACTTTCACATTTTTGCATGAAAAATATTACTAAAATGACATTTTCGTTAATACAAATATCCATGATAATTTTAAAGCCTCTACTTTATCTAAATAATGCATTTTAAATACCTTATTTTTTTTTATTATTAAAGAAATATACAATAAATTTTCAGCAAGAATTATAAGTAAATATTGCTGACATGATACATAAACGTGAATTATAAATACAAGAGACATTACAATGATAAGTGTAAACATACAACACTTAATTAGCATAACAAAATTATTAATTAGCCAAATCTCGTTTCTAAGTAAGAAGGGTAAAACCTTTAATCTATATGTTATAGGGAAAGTGGGATCTGTGGGGATTAAGAGCTTTTCCTAGTCATTGCTCACAATGTCAGGCATTTTTAGGCAACGTAAGAAACATAAGATATGTTACGGACTTATCGGTCACAGGCACACATACATCCGCTATACTATACTATGTTATGTATGTGTGTGTCAGTTATCCGATAAGTCCGTAACATATCTTATATTTCTTATATTGCCTACTGCTTGGCATTGTGGGCAATGCCTAGGAAAAGCTCACAATCCCTGCAGGTCCCACTATCCCTATAACATATACACTAAATCAACATTTTCTAGCAAACTTTTTGCTAAAGGATTTAGATGCTTGGCTAAACGAAAGCTGTAGGATTCGCTGAAGTTAGCAATCTCTTCTTTTATTGTAGGAATTCTTAAATCTTTATGGATTCTTTCATTAGTTACATACCATGGGCCATTGCAAATGTTTCGCAGTGTTTTTGATTGGAATTTCTGTAAAATTTCTATGTTTGAGCTACCAGGACTTCCCTCCATAGTTGAATTCCATAAATCCATATAGGTTTTAGGATAACTTTATAGATAGCATAAACTTGGTTAGATACTCTGTCAATGAACCAATATAGCTTTCTTACTTTTTCCTTTAGGTAGGTTGTTTTGGATTGAATATGTTGTCTCCATGTCAGCCTTTTATCCAGTACCATACCTAAGTATTTGGTCGAATTTTTGGTTGGTATAACTGCTTTATTTATGCTCACAGGAAGACATGTGTGCTTACACTGTGTAAATGTTACATGCGTCGACTTATTTTCGTTTATATTGATGTGCGCTTTTGATACCATCTTTCTAGAGTATGTAGGTGTAAAATATCAGTCGCATTTTGAGGATTGCTGTCAGATGCTAACAGAGCTGTATCGTCCGTAAATATAGTTATCTTGTCCAAGGTTGGAAAATCTGTTTTGTAGATAGCGTACAGTAAAAGTTCGAGTATATTGCCTTGTAGAACACCGGCTAAGATTGACAGGCTTAGGCTGTGGTGAGTTGTTTTTGATATTTGATTATGAATTTCCTGTTTGTGAGGTAAGATTTAAGGATCAGATAAAAAGGATATGGCAGTGTTTATTTAAGCTTATATAGTAGTCCGATGTGCTACTCTTTATCAAAAACTTGGTTTATGTACAGGAATACTGCTGAACAGTATTTTTTCTGTTCAAGATCTTGTGATATCTTTCTAGTTATACGTTGAATTTGCTCAATTGTTGATATCACAAGTGTTTCATTCTTTTCTTATCAAGATTTTAGTAAAGTGAACGTTCATGTTAATGAAGTAGAGACTCGCCAAAGCAAGATCCTTACTTTATGATCAAGCACGCGGGGAAAAGATTAAGTTAATGTTTCTACTTAATTGTTACGATCGATCAAGTTTCATTTTGAATTGTTTTGTGTATTTATTATTTTATGTTAATTTTTATAACTTCTTCCATGTATTTCTCACGATGATAGGTTACATTAATATATGATATCGTTCAACGACACGTGTTATCGAAATGGCTCATTTGCTCGCGGAAGTAAACACTGTCACGCCCCCGATTCGAGTGCACGCACATGTATGACGTCATATAGGGAGCTGAAAATTAAATTAATACCATGATCTATCCCAAAAAATTATACGTGTCTTAGTTTGAATTCCATGGTGCAGATATGTGTATACATAATCATTACTTATTTTTTTTACTATTTAGTTTTTGTGAAATTTGAAGTATTTTATATCTTTTCATCGATAAGGAAAAACAGAATATAAAGAGACAAAGGAGGAAAAAAACAGCGGAAATTAAAAATAAAAGTTGGTGCAAAAGCGACAGAAAGGTTTACAATGCGGTCACAACAGGTTGCATAAAGTAAACAATAGGTTTGCCTATAGCAAAGAGTCCCTTTCTTGCCGATATAAACATCGGGATATCTTTCTAAGATTCTGAAAAGGATCATAGTGATTTAGTCATAAAAATACTGAAAGGTTTACCAGCAAGAAGAAAAGGTTAGTCATAATAAAGCAATAAAAACATGAAAGGGATAATAATCACGTTCACAACTTTTGCTTATTCAGAACCTTTTGTTGACATTTAAATCTATTTAACAAGAATATCAAATAAAAAAAAATTTTGTTAGAAAAAATATATTATAGAAAAAAATTTGTTGGAGTAATTTTTATGAAGTGTCAAGATGCCA